TTTTTTTTGGTCAGTCGTGGGGCTTGAACTCTGGGCTTGGGCGCTGTCCCTCAGCTCTTCAGCTCAAGGCGAGAGCTCTACCACTTGAGCCACAGCGCAACTTCCAGTTTTCTGGTGTTTTATTGGAGATAGGAGTCTCCCGGTCTTTCCTGCCTGGGCTGGCTTTGAACCGCGATCCTCAGATCTCAGCCTCCTGACTAGCTAAGATTACAGGCGTGAGCCACCAGCACCCGGCTAAACGTAGCTTTTTTTTTTGTTTTTTTTTGGGGGGGTCCGGTTGTGGGGCCTGAACTCTGTGCCTGGGTGCACTTGAGCCACAGTGCCACTTCTGGCTTTTTTCTTTTTTGCTTATGTGGTGCTGAGGAATCGAACCCAGGGCCTCATGCATGCAAGGCAAGTGCTCTACCACTGAACCACCTTCCCAGCCAGCCCCTAAACGTAGCTTTTTGAAATACATTTTCCTATCGCATTCCCATTATGGTTTTTTCCTCCATTTTTCTCCCATTGTGCTATCTGTTTATGCTGCAGAATATTAACAGATATTGTTTTAAACTAATAATTGGTATGGAAAAAAGTGACCATCTCCATAATGCAAGCTCTACCAGCAAACTACCAAAGCACCATTAAGTAAACAAGCAGAAACTGAGATAAGAAACAGTGTATAGTGTCGCATTTCATTAGTTCTATCTACAGCAATTTTGCTTTCACTTAATGAAATAAAAAAATTAAAGAATTAGAGAATATCTACCTTAAAAGTTATTTACTAAGTTAGGGTTGAAGTATACCTCAGTGCCTATCTAACATGTGAGGTTCTGAGTTCAATCCCTAGTACTACCAAAAAAAAAAACTATTAGTGAATGGGATAGTTCAGTGATATTTATAATAGTAAAAAGAACTTATTATAATATTTGTTGTGGGGCTAGGAAAGTGGCTCAGTGGTAGAGCGCTTGCCTTGCATGCATGAGACCCTGGGTTCAATTCCTCAGCACCACATAAGCAAAAGAAAAGCTGGAAGTGGTACTGTGGCTCAAGTGGTAAAGTGCTAGCCTTGAGCTGAAGAGCTGAGGGACATGCCCAGGCCCAGAGTTCAGGCCCCACGACCAGACCCAAAAAAATAATATTTGTTGTTTCCTAAGTTTTATTTTATTTTATTTTTTTTTTTGCTGGTCGTGGGGCCTGAACTCTGGGCCTGGGCGCTGTCCCTCAGCTCTTCAGCTCAAGGCTAGCACTCTACCACTTGAGCCACA